ATGCCCCTTCCCAGGATAATTCCATAATTCCTCTCCTGGCTAAGACCATAAGTTCAAGCATTTCCCAAGGACAACTCCAAAATAAATTATTTCAGACTTAACAGAAGCTGCTTAATAAATTCCACTCTTCTCGTTTCCTTGGGTATTTTAGAAACTGATTTATACATACAATATCTCTCTCAAAATGAGACAATCAACACAGGATAAAATTATTGAGTTATAAAAATAGGGGTCAGACAGAGGTGCAGTGCTTTAAATTAAACCGGCAAAATATATCTTTCATACTAAATTGACTCTTTTTGTCTTGGAAATGAATGTTTAATCAGTTAAGACGCTGGAGTCGAGGAAGAAGCCTTAAGCATATTTAATTTTGTAAAAGGGGCTCGATTCCAATACTTCATATGATTCCTGCCAGCATCCGTGTAGTTAAGGTACAATGGCTGGCTCCTGCACAAGTCCAGGGGGCTGAGTGGGCAGAGGCAGGGGACAGGAGGACACCATGGCCTTCTGAAGCAGAGCCAAGGGGCACCTGTCATTCTGAGATGTCTGTCACATGCCATGGCCTTACCCACTGCTCCAGGGACCCTCCTGACGCATCACAGGCTGTGTGGGCAGCTCCTGAGGCCCCCTGGCTATCAGCGTATCTTGTGCACTACCCGCCTCCTGGTGACCAATGGCTCCCTCCCCCGATTACCTGATAAAACTGAGAAGTGGATGGCAGGGGACACAGCGAGATCAAATTCTGGCTTTGCTATTATTAACAGCTTTTTTTAAAAAAAATTATTTTAATATTTTAAAAAATAATTTTAATGAACATTTACAGAGATTTTGGATTTTCATTCATTCATTGCTGCACTTCTCTCCCTGCCCAGCCCTCCCCGCCCTGCCCCCCTCCCCCGGCCCCAGCTTGCTGCTCTCTTTGAAAAGTAAAAGAAAGACTCCCTCCCTGGTACACAGTCCCCCCAGCACCCCTCCCACCACCCCAAGTACATTCCACTATGCAACCTTAATTGTGGACTCTTGTGATAATCATAATACCATATCATACATAGCTTTTAAATTATTCTCTCCCTCATCTGTTTCAGTGCAGTATACACAATTGATCCAGTTTTTCTCAGTCTTACCCCAACCCTGCTATCAGTCCCATTTTGCAGCAGTGGCACCATGCAGTATTTGTCCTTTTGCGACTGAGATATTTCACTCAGCATACTGTCCTCCAGGGTCACCCATTTTGAATAATATTGCCTGAGTTCCTTGTTTTTCAATGCAGCGTAGTATTCCATTGTGTGAATATACCAGAGCTGCTCTAGCCATTCCTTTTAAACCACCCCCACACACAACACAACTCAGCTCACTGTTCTGGAGTTGGTCCGGACACTTAGCAGCTCCACTTCAGGTTTCCAGGCTGGAAGTCTCCACGAGAGGAGGCTGCCTGTCTTTGTCCCCAAGAGCTGCTGGGGAGGGACAGCAGCCAGAGACATGGAGCCTTTGGGTCAGCTGTGTCTTGCTACAGACTGTACCACTTAATAGCTATGTGTTAATTCATTCATGAAATACATGGAGGATCCTCTAGGATGCAGACTATCACTTTCCAAGGACGTGAAAAACCTCACAGCTGAGCCCGGTGTCGCTTTTGGGTACGTGTGGCATCGTGCATACACCTTATCAGAGCATTTACTACAGCTTATAAAAAAACAGTATGCACACTTGACTTATCTCACCATCTGCACTGGCATCTCATGGGCATTCTCACGGGCATCCTGCACATCTGGAGTCCAGAACAATGCCTAATACTTGGCAGACAACTCAATACCAGCTATCGCATGGTGGGTAGAAAATATATATATATATATACACACACACACACACACAAAAGACACACACATGTAAGACATCTGGAATCTGCAAATATTCCTTTAACTGGAAAAGAGTGCCCTGATTTTCTTGCAGGTTTGGTTAAGGTAAGGATCTTTGGTGCAACCTCTGTGGAAGGTGGTGTGACGCTTTCTCAAAAAGTTGTAAATAGAAATACCATTTGACTCAGCAATTCCACTACTGGGAATATACCCTAAAGAGACCATAACTGCCACCCAAGCAGATATATGCACACTCATGTTTATTGTGGCTTTGTTCACAATAGCAAGGAGTTGGAAACAACCTAAGTGCCCATCAACAAACGAATGGATAAAGAAGCTGTGGCATATTCACACGATGGAATATTATGCTGCGTTGAAAAAAAGGAACTCATGTAATATTATTCAAAACGGGTGACCCTGGAGGACATTATGCTGAGTGAAGTATCTGAGTGAAGAAAAATACTGCATGGTGCCAAGGTTGTAAAACAGGACTGACAACGGAGTTGAGGGAAGACTGAGAAAGATGGGTTCAATAATGTATACTGCATTGAAACAGATGAGGGAGAAAACGGTTTAAAAGGGATATGTGACTAGGTATTATTGTCATGACAGGAGTCCAGAGCAAAGGCTGCATAGTGGAGTGGACCTGGGGGGAGGGATTGTAAAACAATGGGGGAACTTTTCTTTTACTTTTCAAAGAGAAGAGTGTATTGGGGGGGAGGGTTGTGAGGGGAGAAAAGTGCAACAATGAGTGAATGGAAATCCAAAGTCTCTGTAAATTTTCATTAAAATTAATGAAAGAAAGATAAGGATCTTGAAATGGGAGAGACTGTCCTAGATTAACCAGTGAGCCCTCAATGACACCACAAGTATCTTTACAAAAAGGACAGAAGACAGTTTAATAACCAGAGAGGAGAAGGTGGCATGAAGCCAGAGCCGAGACTGGAATGATGCAGCCACAAGCCAAGCGACACCTGGAGCCACCAGAAGCTGGAGCAGGCAACACCCACTCTGCCCTGGAGACGCCACAGCGAGCGTTGAGTCGGCCAACGTCTCAACTCCGAGCCCACGGTGCTGACTTTGGTCTTCTGCCCGCTAGACCTGAGAAAGAAGAGCTTTCTGCTGTTTTGAGCTAAAAGTCTGAGGTCGTTCATTACAACAGCCGCAGGAAATGAATACAACCACCCCTGCCTTTGAGTTTCGCTTTTTTGGTTTTATAGCAATGCTAGCCTTCCTCGCTTCTCAGGAACACGTATGAGAAATATTTGTAGAACCCGACAAATGTGCTTCTGTACAGCCCAACACTCCTCTTTGCAGGACACTGCTAGTGTACATACACATTCTTACCTGGTGTTCTCAGTGGGTCTGGCGGCCCTCCTGTGGGTAACTGGGCTTGGCTTATCTCTCGTTACATAACAAGAGAATATAAAAGTCATCAAACTCACGTGAGTTCTCACTAATGGAAGAATGAAAGCTATCTGAGTTGGTGAAGCGTCTTAAACAGAGCTCGTTTTAAAGAAATCTCTTTGCAGAGTGCCTATTTGGATGGAGCCCAACAGCAGCATTTCCTAGGAAGGGTTACTAGGGGGTTGTTGGTGATAAAGGGAGAACACGCACGATGATTATCAGGTGGCCCCGCACGTGCATCTGAGCATCTGTAAGGTCAGTTCCTTTAGAGAAATAGGATTTTTTTGGAAAACACTGCAATTTAGTTGTGGGGGAGATTTATTTTTATTTCAAATATTAATAACTGCAAATATTCTCTGATTGCCTCTTCTCTGGCAGAAATTGGCTAAGGTTTTACATGCGTATTTCAAATGCTCTGAGAGATTGTGGGCACTGTTATGACTCTCAAGGCAGAGAAACCAAAGATTGGGAGGAGGTGGGTTTGCAAGGAAGGTCCATGGGGGACTTCAGAGGCCACAGATTAGGCCTTCCTGTTAGCACAGAATTCAAGGGATCTGGTGGCATCGTGCATTGCTTGTTGTGCTGTTCACTGAAAGGCTGGTGGCTCAAATCCACTTGTGAGACAAAGATGAGATCACCTCCTCCCATAAATATTTACAGCCTCAGAAATACGATGGAGGGTCACCTTGAGTTGGAACCAACTTAAGAATGGTAGGTATGGGGGGTTTTGGTTTGGTATGAGATTTAAGACATTTATGACCCAGACCTGGCTTGGATCTTTCACTTCTTAGCCTTTTCCTGGCCTCAGTTTTTTTTCTGTCCAGCCAAAGGGGAGAAAAATCCCATGCTAGTCCCCATGCACAGCACGAACCCGCTCACCATGTTTTGTACATGCTGTTCCATTGATAGGAAGGTCCCTTCCTGCTTTTTTCCACTGGCATTTTGGCAACTTCTGTCTGCCAAATTTCTACTCATTCCATAAATCTCAAGTCAATAATCATATTCTCCCCAACAGGTTAAGCAAGACACATTAAAAAAAATTTTACATGGTTCCATTTATATAAAATGCCCCAAATTGGCAAACGTGACAGAAAGTAGATTAGTGGTTGCCTAGAGTTTTGTGGAGGTGGGGGAGTGCGGGATGATGGCTAAGGGGAACAGGGTGATGGCTGCACCACTTTGTGGATATTCTAAAAGGCCACAAAATTGTACTCTTTAACCAAGTGACTTAAAGAGTTAAATTCAGTGACTATATCTCAGTAACACTGTTAAGAATTTTTTACAAAAACTCATTGCCATGGAATCTGAGCTAATCATAGCTGACAGTCCACTGGGTTTCCGAGGCTGTAAATGGCACAAGAGTGGATGGTCCATCTTCCATCCACGAAGCTGCCGGTGGATTCCAACTGCCAGCAAGGTCTAGACTTTGGTTTAGCAGCACTGCCTACCGACCGTACCACCAGGGCTCCATTACAAGATAAGACTACACTAAAAATAGAAACCCATTAAGGTATTGCAAACAGACCTCGAGACGCTGGAAGTGTGAAGGCATTAACTCGTCTCCATGTCCACCCCCAGTGTTCTTCAGATCCTCCTACGGGGAGCCACCCAAACCAGGCACTACCTGTGAGCGAAGGGCGTGGCCCTCAACACTGAAGGGGAGCAGGGGCATTCGGCTCCCTCGCAATCTATAGCCCCTGTGTCCTGCTGGACCCATCGCGGAGGATGAGGACTTACCGTGGGCAGTTGGCCTGACAACAGGTGGCTGTCCTGGGCCAGCATGTTGGACACCATGATGGCCGGGAGGTCCATGGCCTGGTAGGAGTAGGCAGGGAGCAGACCGTTGGGTGCAAGGCCGTGGCACAGCGAGTGGTAGCTGGCTTCGTGGTCCCCCAGGTGCAGGAGGGATGGCTCTGGGAGGTTTGGGGGTGTTATAGGGGGGATCTCATAGTCTTCGTTGGTCTCGTTCTGGCTGTTATAAGTCTACAACATCAAAAGGACATGCCTTGGGTTAGAGTCATTTACCTGCAAAAAACATCCAACATTACCAATAACAAGAATGATAATGACCCCTTGGCACAAAGGAGAAAGAATGATCCCTCTGTAAGGCAAAGGGTCAAGGTAGACCTCCGATCTGGTCTCCCGTACCATGTTCAGATGGATGCTCCCTCCAACTCAAGGTTCTTTTTCTATACACAAAATCTTGGTCTTCTGGAGAGTGGAGGGAGGCCAGAGCCTATCTATCTATGGCTCTCTGTTTTTCACCCGATACGGCCACTACAATGGAGCCACTCTTCCTTCCCCACGCATTTTACACAGGGAAGACTCATGATCAAGGAGCAAAGTTGTCTGTCCAAGGTTAGCAGAAGTGCTGGGACCAGAGAAGAAGGACCCTGAAATGGACTGACTCAGTGACTGGTGTAATGGAGCTAGATGTGCAGAGACAATGAAATTGGCTCAAGACAGAGCAGGGTTCAGAGCTGTTGTACAGAGGGTTATTATTCGTCAGAGTCAACTTGATGGCACATAAAAACAACAAACAACATTCTGATCCTTGCCTGGCGGTCATGACAAGGATTCTGGGAGTCTGGTTCCTCAGTCCTTAGAATCAGCTTTGCATCATGGCCAAGTTCAAAGTCTAGGTATCTAGAAACAGGGTTGGGTCAACCTTGTTATTGGATGAGCTTGCAACAGAAAGCTGCAACGGTTATTCTATTTTTGTTTTAATTTCTCTAACTCTGCATATTAGCTTCTTGTTGTTGCAGTAACAAATGACAAATTGAAAACAACATTAATTTATTATCTTACAGCTTCTGGCAGTCAGAAGGAAAAAAAATCACAACAGGTATTTGGGGTTACAGTTGAGGTGCCAGCAGGGTGTCATTCCTTCTGCTGGTTTGCGGGGAGAATGTTTTCCTTGCCTTTTCTAGCTACAAGAGGGTAGTCACATTCTTTGTTTTCTGGCTCCTTATTCCATTGTCAGAGGAAATCACTCCGATCTCTGCTTCTATCATCACATCTTCTCTTGTTCCCTCTCTTAAAAGGACTCTCATAACTGCCTTGGGCTCACCCAGATAATCCAAGCGATCTGGAGACACAGAGAGCGGCAGACCCAGAGAAAAGGCAGCCATGTGAAGATGGAAGCAGAGACAGGGGGATGCACCTTAATCTAAGGACACCAAGGACTGAGGAGAACCACTGGTACCTGGGAGAGAAGCATGGGACACACTGTCCCTCAGAACCTTCTGGAAGAAATCAACCTGGCCAACACCTTGATTTCAGACTTGTGACTGATGGCCAAATCCATGAGATAATACATTTGTGTTGTTTTAAGTCAGCCCCTTGAGGTAATCTGTTATGGCAGTTGTAGAAGTTAATGTTCCTGCTGTGAGTTTCAGAGACGCTGAGAGACTTGCTCAAGGACACACAGCAAGCACACAGCTGCATCCTGGCTCAGTGCCCCACACCCCTTTGTAGCCAGTGTGCTGTTCCTAGCTACTCTGCCACAGGTCTGTGTGCCAGCCAGGGCGTGATGTCTGTTTTCAGCCTGGCCCCTGGGATGGGGAGAATCAGCCACAGCATCATATAATTCCAGAAAGCAGTCCCACTTCTGGTCTTCACATTCAGAGTCACCTCCTCCGGAAGGCCACTCATCCTGAGGACAGACTCCCCTGCTCTGACTCCCCACCTGCACCCCCTTGTGTGGGTCCTCCATCATATTCATTTTTCCTTGCAATTATTCCTGACTCTTACCTTTCCCAAGTGCACTTCCACCCTTTGCCAGATGCTAGGCTCTGTGAGGGCAAGAATCAGTCCTCCAGTACCAAGCATCGAGGCTGGTACATAGTAGGCGCTCAAACAGATGTTTGTATTTTAATATGCCCAAGACTCTAGGTTTATGCTTTTCCTAGGTGCTTCCAAAAGGAGGTGTGGTAGCCTAGTGCATAATGTGTTGGGCTCCTAACCAAGAGGCTGGTGGTTCAAATCCACGAGTGGCTCTATGACAGAAAGATAGGTAGCCTCCTCCAATAAAATGCACAGCTTTGGAAACCCACTGGATAGTCTCCATGAGTTGGACACGACTCCAGGTAACTGAATCGGTGATGCCAGGTCTGTGTGTGCTTCCCCACTGACTTCATAAGTACTTCAGTTACCCCTGTTCACCACTGTCAAGCATCAACCCCTAAAGGCTCCCAGCACCTCATATAGGGGCTGACACACAGTAGGTACCCAGTGAATACTAAATGAATCCACCAGCCCAGACCTTCCTTTTAGAAAACAAAAACTTCAAGGCATTGGAACCCGCCCAGTCAACAAGAAGCCTTTGGGGAAAATAAGCATATGCTGTATCAAAATATTGGAATAACACAATTATGACAATTCATTTAAAGAGGCAATTAGCAGACTTAAAAATAACTAAACATGCAAACACATGCATTCTTCTTCTGCACACAGTCAAATTCTAAGTGCACGACATACACACACCAAGGCCTTCTATCTGAGCGCCAACTGTGTGTGTGGGCTCCCGGGCTTGGCCAGTCACACACATGCACCATTTCACCCGCACGCATTCGGCAAAGAAGTGACTATCATGCCCATCTTGCAGATAAGAAAGATGAGATTTAGTGAGTACGACTGTCACACAGTTGGTAAGGCTTAATGGGGATTCAAACGCAAGTCTTCAGACTCTGACTTGGTATTTTCCTACACGAGATAAGATGCTTTTTCAAGATTTCACACTTCCTTCATTAAAGATACTGGCCACTAATTCACCCTCTAGCATTCTCATGAAAATAGAGAAGCCAAGTTGTAAGAGCTCCAGAAGATAAAAAAAGCATTAGTAAAACCTTCCAAGAAAAAAAAAATCTTGAAATAGCAGTCTCATATTTCTTCTCTTTTTTCTCAAACTCACTCCAGTCACAATTCTATCTCATCATCCACTAAAGTTGCTTTGTGAAGGTTACCAAAGGCTTCCAGGTTACCAGATTCAACGCTCAGTCTCCATCCTCATCTGACCATCTTTGTTTTTAATTTATTAATTTATTCTTTTTATGTGTGTACCATCAAATTGGATCTGACTGGTACAGGAGGTGATTGTTCCTCCTTCTTTAGCAGAGGTGGATTTGAACTGCGCACCTCTGGGATTGCAGTGCAGTTTCCTGCCACTAGGCCACCAGAGCTCGCCTCATCTGACCATCTTACTTAACCTTCTCAATGACATGTCATGATGGGTTACTCCCTCCTGGAAATACACTTCTTCACTTGGCTTCAGGAAGACCACAGAGGTTGATCTTGCAATATCACAGGTCATTTCTTCTCCATCTCCTTAGCTGGTCCCCCATTCCTGCCCTCAGTCTATCAATGACAACACGTTTCAGAACTCAAATCTTAGACCCCTTTCAATATGCTCACTCTGTTGGTGATCTCATTTGGCTTTACAGTTTTCATTTTACTAATGCTATTGACTCCCCAATTCACATCTCCAATTCGGACTTCCTTCAACTGTAGACTCATATATACCACTGTCAACTGACATGTGTATTTGGATTTTAATGGCCACCTTCAACTTAACATGCCCAAAAGAGAAGTTGCTTCTCCCACAGTCTTAGCTACCTTGTTGTTAGATGCTGTCAAGGCAATAATAATAAGAGCAACCTATGAACAACAGAGCAAAGTCATACCCTATCCTGAACCATCCCGAAGAGAAAGAATATTCTGTTAACGAATTCTTTCTGAAATAATACTGAGAGCTAACAGCACACAATGAAAAGTGAACAGGACGCCAGAAAGAGTGAGCTAAGGATAAAGAAAAGATCCACAATTTCAATTAATTCAGGATAGTTGCTGGTAAAGCCCTCAACAAAATGGATTGACATGTGACTGTAACAGTGGGCTCAAGTGTGCTGAAAATGGTGAGAATGGTACAGGGCGGTCGACTTGAGGGCACGTAACAACAACAACGATAATAATTAGACAACTGTTGAATTTAAGGTGGTTGTTGAATAAAGATTCCTAAAACAGAAGAGGTATAAGATTATATGATGCATGTTGTTGTTGTTATGTGCTGTCGAGTTGCCTGCAACTCACAGTGACCCTATGTACACACCAGCTTTGAAGCCTACCCTGCCCTGAGCCAGTCTCACTGCCTCCGACACACCTACCCCACTGCCTTAGTTTACTGTATCAGTCGACCTCATGCAGGTCTTCCTCTCCTGTGCTGTCCTTCCACCTTTCCAAGCATGATGTCTGTCTCCAAGGATTGGTCCCACTTGGTCACACTGTCCAAATTATGTAGAACAGAGCTTCAAAATCCTAGCCTCCAAGGAGAAACCTGGTTTCACCCTCTCCAAGACAGACCTATTTGTTATCTTGGTGGTCCATGGTATGTTCAAGACTCTTCTCCAGCACCATAACTCAGAGGTATCAATTCTTCTATCATCCTTAGTCATTATCCACCTCTCTGAAGTCATAACAAGTAATTACGAAGACCATGGACTGGATCAGGTGCACCTTAGCCTCTAGACTGACATCATTCCCAAATTGAAAGTCTAGAGGGTTTAAACCAGAAGCAATCTCTCTCTTAATTTTAAAGATACTGACTGTTCATATTGTCAGAAAACTAGAAATTGATACATGTTTGTTACATTTTAAGGCAAAACTACTCAAAATATAGAAATAAAGAACAGAAATTCCACATTATTAAAGGAATATAGAAAAAGAATCTAGGATTTAACTAATCTAATAAATACCTGAAAAGGAAATATAAAAATAAACTAGGAAATACAGTAAAAGAGAGCCTACATAAGACTAAATATCCTCATATTCTTATTGTCATTGAATCAGCTCATTGTTTCAGAGACTGTAAACCACACAGGAGGAAACTGACCAGCTTTCTCCCACAGAGCAGCTGGTGGATTTGAACTGCCTGCCTTTGGATTGATAGTGTCAAACCCTACATTAAACCGTCGAGTCAGACCAGCACA